AAAAGTCGCAAAATCCCGCTGCAATGTCACATACCAATGACGTAGTACTTCGAACACGACAACGCTTCAAATAAAGACACGAATGTACAGTATTTGCAGGTAAACCATGCCCTTTTCAGATTGAATTGAATAATACTACAATGACGCTCTCAGTATTCCTGGTAAGTGTGTCACTGGTGAAGTATAGATTTTGAGATTGGCTATCTATATTAATATAAACCTAATGTCAAGGGTGGCACTTTAAAAGGTCAGTTCAGGGCGTAGTTGAGAAAAATATAGGTCTACCCGTGTTATGATATGAGATATATACTTTTCCATTTCTATGTAACCTAGGGCAATGTAATGATGGTTGTGAAAAGAAGAGTTGGAGTTTGACCTGATAAATCGACGGTGGCTACAATGAGGATGACGACGGCTGTGGATTTTACTTATGATTAACGAAATAAAGATTTATGTGAAAGGGGAACACGGGCTGCTACTGCTGCTGCTGCTGCTGCTGCTGATGATGATGATGATGATGATGATCATGATGATGATGATGATGATGATAACAACAATTTTCTGAGTTACTTCAAGGTGAAACATCATGTCATTTTTAGACAAACAATATAATCTGAGTAATGTAAATTGCGGTGTGCAAAACCTGAAGAGTTTCTTGAGAGATCAATAAGTGAGCTCAAAAACACCCCATCCCTCACATCGCCCCTACTCCGGCCCTTGTCCCAACGTGCCATATAGCATACACTGAAAGCCATTAACAACGCAACACTTCGTTTGCACAGTCTGAACACATTTGTATCAAATGAATATAGATTTAAAGAAGTGTTTTTGAAGTTTATTCAATTTCCAACAAATATGAACCATTTTGATTACACACAGCAACTGATTTCGATACATTCTCCTCCTTCTTTCAGGGTACCTCCGTATAGCAAATTCGCAGATAAACGAAAAATGGAAGCTTAATAAAGATCTCTTACCTTTAGCAAATTGTAAGGCCATCATTAACATTTCAACAGACCAAAACACTTATTCACAAGTTCAAAGATTTTTTGAGAAATTGTGTCCCACTTTCGCAGCACTGCTATCTTCCAATAGCTCCAGACTCGCAAATTGGCACACACTTTGCGGTTCAGTTAATTCCATAATATGTGCGCTGTTGGAGACATGTCGGTTACGTACAATGGTCAGTCCATGACATTCATGTTATGATCTTCCATAAACTGTCTTGTTTGCTGAATAGGCAGTGTAAAGGCATGAGTGTCGAGTTGGATGACTGAAAAATTCTGATTTTTTCTTTGTGCTGTTTGGCACCGTGAAGACGGCGCTGTTTTTCCGGTTCAGTTAATTGCGACCCTAAATAAGGCGTTCTTGATCTAAGTCCTGTGCTTACTGTTCCGCGCCTCACAATGATGAAAGAAACATTTTCACGAACCCAATGCATGCCTTTAGTTGCTACTTTTGAGAAACGAAACGATTTCGCAGGTGCGACAGCAAAATCTACCGCTCTTGAACAAGTCTGGTCACTCGAGACTGTCCTATTCTTTGCCCATCCCGGACATTTCAAATGTGCTAAAATCTTTGTATAAAGGTAGCAATCCATATGTGCTGGACGGCAGCGGCAGCGGCACAGCAGCGGGACGATATGTGCGGTACCGCAAGTCACATTAAATCCATATGTGCGGCAGCGGAACGGTAGCGGGACGAAATGTGTGATATCGCAAGTGGCAAATTCAATAGGGGAAGGCATCAATTATCTTGATCTTTTGTCACTAGCAAAACGAACAGGTCTATCCATTCCTTTGCCATTCAGGACAGCCCAGAAGGCACCATTTGGGCATATCAAGAAAATGGGTGGATGAACGACGACATAGGGGTGCAATGCTTTCAGCAAGTTTTCCGTGTCAAATGAAATGACTGCATCACACAGAGATTCCTCACAGTCATGAGTCTACCCTATTCCGCCACATTCATATTTTTGTCTGCGGCAGAGCTGCGGCAGCGGCAGAATCGCTCCTGGGTGCGGATTTATCGTCCCGCTGCCGTACAGGTGACAATCCATATGTGCGGAACGGCAGCTACAGCGGCACGGCAGCGGGACGATATGTGCGGTACCGCAAGTCACATTACATCCATATGTGCGGCAGCGGAACGGCAGCGGGACGAAATGTGCGCCTCTTTCTATGAATCTACTTCATAGAGCCTACACATCTCTGCATTTAATTCTTATTGACTTATTGACTTATCATCTTATTATTATTCTTATTATTATCATTTTTATTGACTTATTTATCATCCTTATTTTCTATGTTCTTGCATTGATTCCATTAATTTAACTGCTTTATTATCTTTATGTAGAGGTATTTATTTGTTATTTCAATCAATTTAATTAAATAAATACATTTTACTAAGGTTACCAATTGTCGGGTAAATTCACCACGGCCGACGGGTAATTTCGCCAGTATTGTAAAGTTGCAATTATCTTGATCGTTTGTCACTAGCATAACGAACAGGTCCATCCATTCCTTTGCCATTCAGGACAGCCCAGATGGCACCATTTGGGCATATCAAGAAAATGGGTGGATGAACGACGACATGGGGTGCAATGGTTTCTCAGCAAGTTTTCCGTGCCAAATGAGTTGACTGCATCACACAGAGATTCTTCACAGTCAACCCTATTCCGCCACATTCATATTTTTGTCTGCGGCAGAGCTGCGGCAGCGGCAAAATCGCTCCTGGGTGCGATTTTTATCGTCCCGCTGCCGTACACAATATTATACAAATTCAAAGATTTTGCCCCCGCCCCCCACCCCCCACCCTCTCTCTCTCTCTCTCTCTCTCTCTCTCTCTCTCTCTCTCTCTCTCTCTCTCTCTCTCTCTCTCTCTCTCTCTCTCTCTCTCTCTCAGCACACACGCGCGCGCGCACACACACACACACACACACACGTACACACACACACATAAAATCCACACACACACACACACATACCCGTACAAAAACTCATTTTTTTCCGTCCTCTCTGAAGTGTTTTTAAAAACTTGTTCTATTTTTACAATCACTATTTGTTTTCTAACGCATGGTACCTGGGAGAAACGTTAATTTTGAATGATGGCATATTTTGGAAATTATTGATTAACATTTTATTTGCGCAGTGCAGCCATTCTTTACCACATTGGCTTAATCAGTACGTTGCAAAGTCTATCTTTTTTGGGGGGTGGGGGGGGGGGTAAAGTATTTTACGGCGCTCGCAACTGCATAAGGTAATACGAGCGCACGGGACATATTAAACATTTTTCAGTTGGTAGGAAATTTTGAATTTACCCGGTTGGCGGCCGAAGCCTACTCTTATCGATTTTAGACCACCAAGGGATCTTTAACGTGCACAACTTGCACACGTGACCTCCGAGCTTTTTCGACATTGTCCGAGGAGGCTAGGTGTAGATCTTTCCTACCAGAAGATCAGGGGTGTGGCTGAAATACATCTGTAAGTTACACTGTAAGAAGGATCCAAGGAGTAGCAGTAGAAAGGCTGCAGAAAGAGTCAGGAGCCCAGAGGAGGGGACAAAGGAGGTGAGGGAGTGGGGGCAGAAAGTGGAGTCGAAAGCAGACGATAGAACATTGGTAGAGAGCAGAAACGAAAGTGAAATGAGACCATTTTAGAGAAGAAAATTTCTCCGTCGCTACCCGGATTCGAACCCGGGACCTTTGAATGAGAGCAGAACACCTTAACTTCTTGGCAACGAGAGCCCCCCTTCAATGTCTCAGCTGTGCAGCATGTACTCTTATGGCTATCTGTATAATTTACTTGAGTGTGAATATTTGATTAGCTGCTCTAATAATCTAATTTAATCAAGGTTTTACTCGTTTGTAAATTGAGTTAAGGAACGGAAAGAGTATTCACGAATAAAGGCAGGTAACCTGTGTCTCCTAATTTGTCTCGTTGCTCATCATTCGTCTAAAAAATAAACCTGTCTTTTTTAAATACATTGTAGAAACGGATATATTTTTCGGGGGAGGTGGGGAGGGAGTGGGGGTCTTCATCGCTCTCGGAGATTTTATTAGGCTTGAGTATTTACAACCACGGCACCAGCATCAAGCAAGGGAGACATATGGTAAAGTGATTAAGTCTGCCCACCCATTAGTTTTTCTACGTTTCATTCTCGACCCGACTGGTAGATAACTTGTTAGCTTTAATTTGTACACTCGCTTCATTTTAAATGAACATCTGACATATGATCCTGTTTTTCTTTTCTTTTTTGGCTGAAATTGTGGCCAAAAAGAATAAATCGGTTCGTTTATTGAACATTCCACCTCCGTGAACTATTACGTTATTTTGTCGAAGCACCGCATGGCTCCTAAAGGTGCTTTGGGTAGCTGACTCAGTCATCAGATATTTGAGAGCATAAAACACTTAAACAAACATGAAACTGTTGGGCTTATGATTAAGACAAAGAGAAGACAATTTATGTTCTTGCTGCTGATTTGGACGAATTATTTTCATTCTAGTAAAGGTTTTACAGCGCTCGCAACTGCATAAGGTCATATGAGCGATTTTCATGCGGATCCTTCACAACGTTAAAGAACTGAATAACACAGGCTTGTGTGTGCTATCTATTATTAGAACATGTCAATGTGTTTGATATAACAGATATGGTAAGATGATGACCATCTTTGTTTGTCTGTCTGTCTGTCTGTCTGTCTGTCTGTCTGTCTGTCTGTCTGTCTGTCTGTTTGTCTGTTTGTCCAAGCACATCTTAAACATCTCTATTATATTTTCTAGACCTTGCCAAAGACGCAGTAGAGCTCCAACCTTTCACTAATGATGAATAATTAAAACCCTAACATTCTAAAAAAAAATCAAACCTTAAATTTGTTGAAGCCAAGAAGCCAATACCTACCTTCCTGCATTACATGTTATCTCAGATCGATTTCGTCTCAGGGGACGATTAGACTTATTTGCCTCAGTGATACATGTTTAGATCTGTACATTTTTCTTCCGCAGGGCACGGTCCTAGGTTTCTGTCCGTTATGTCAGGGACAGAGCGTCCAGCGGGCGCCGCCCCAAGACTTCAGGTGAGCCCAGAGAGCAGCCAGTTCCTGACCGTTGACGAAACGAAACGACCACGAGCCAACTCCGACCCGCTCGGCTTACACTTGACCTTAATTGGCCTGCCTGAGATAACTGTAACGGGCGAGGATGGTCAAGACAGCTGTCAAGGAGAGGAGGGTGATGTCGGAGGTCTTCTCCTGCCGCCGTCTCCTCGACGTAGAGCTAACACGTGCCCCGAGGATATGTTCAGACCCCGAAAAGGACGCCCACCCACCCCGCCCCCTTCGGACATTATGAAGAATCCGGCGGGAAAGCGCTTCTCTTTCAACTTCACACCCAAAGACTTGAACGGGATCTCCTTTATTCACCACAAGCTGGGAAAACTTACAGAAGACAATAGCGAGCCCACACCTTCGGAAGCAGACGAGGTTTGCTTGGGCGCCACAGGAGGGGAGGAATCGTTGGAGACAAACCCTCGCCTTGGACAATCAGAACCCAATGGTCACACAGATCATCCCTCGTCCAGGAAACACGGTGCTTTTAGCGCCGGAGGCAAGTTCTCAAAGCATTCCAACGCCGCCAGCATTACCTCAAAAGAAAACGCGTTGAGCCAACCGATGGCAGGACTTTCTGTTTCCTCTCCGTCTGGGAAAAGTTCTGAGGTTAGCAACAACAACGATGTTGGGGTCAAGGATATTGGGAAAACGTCTGACGTCACGAAATGTTCTTCAGACTCATGGCGCTCCAAAGACAGTAACCACGAATCCACAGACAGTTCTCGGCTTACTGCATGTTGATGCTTTTTATGTTGCTTTCCTTTCCTCTTTAGAATTGTACCTTTCTATACTGAAATCCTTAAAGGGTTGACCCTCAAATTTAGGCACGACTTGAGTTTTCTGCACATCATGCTTGCTTGCAGAATCGGTGACACTGGTTCAAATCCCCGGGTGACAATTCTTGAATATGAGTTGCTAACAGAGTTTCGTGGTTCTTCGCCCACTTGGCTTGGTCTCATCACTGGTGGAGGTAAAATCAAATGTTCTACCCTTTAAAATACAGGAAAGGGTATCCTGCCATGTTGTATCATACCTTCCACTGACATAGCGAATCTTGATAAAAATGTGTGGAGATCTTGTGTGAACGTTTAAAAGCATTGATTAAATCAGCAACTGCAAAGAATAAGTACTTATTTGTTTGAGTAAAGAGAATCACAGCTCTACTGCAACAGTAATTTAGTGTAGTGTGCACGCACGACCAACAGACTAAAAGAACAGATGGAAGACTCCAAGTTCGGTGCCCTCAAACTACAAGCAAATGATTTTCATAAAGTGAAATACTTCTTCGGGTTTCAAAACGCCACATATTAGTTGCTACATTCAATGCAAACACATCTGAGCATAATTCTATTTGATTCATGGAGTAACTTAAGCGATGACAAAAACATCGCTCGGTCTATTGAATCCTTGTTTCTCCAACCACCTATTTTTGGCTCATAAAATTCTTTGATCGTGATTATGTTGTTTTGAAAGCAGCATTTCCTTTGTGTGTGTTTTGCTTCTGAAATTTTGATGTTTCCTGATCAAAGTGTTTTCTACGTCTTGCATTGAAATCAAATTGTACAGTGTACAGTTTCTGATTCTCTGAATCCGTTCTAATGTATTTTCCTGACAGAGCCTCTCAAGTGGAGTGTTTTTGTTTTTATTTAACTTCTGATTACTTCTTGGACATGTTACTTCCTTCCACCCCTAGAGTTATCTTCCTAAACTACCCGGCTTGGCACAAAAGCCCTATTGTGCTGTGGTGAAGTCGCCCAATTTGCTTAGATGTGGACACTTTTGAAACTTCATCGTTATGTCATAATATGTTGTATATATATACAGGCTGCGAGTCTTCTTTCTTTTTATTTCTCAGGAACCTGCATAAGCTTCTGTTCCAGATTCTCTCAAAGGAAGTAATTATCGACACGTTTCGTTGACATTTCTTGTTCTTTGCTAGCTTGTTTTGTCTGGCATTTGTGTTACTGCTCTCTACGATAAGAAACTTCTGACCAGTTGCTGCAAAATAAAATGTGATTGCTTACAGATTGTTACAATTGTACAGGGCGAACAGTTTCAAATACTCTTTATCATGATCACTTTGTGAGTCTTTGAACTTATTAAATTTCCTTCTCCAGTATGAATGAGCTTTTGAGCTCAAAACTCATTTTTCGTTTGCATTGTGCCTGTGATGTTGTTTGTGTTACGGATGTGAAATAATCTGCGTCCTATAACCCACAAAGATATGGGTCGTTCAAAACATATTTGGAAGTTTATAGAAAAGGTTAGTTCAACAGCATGAGTGTTCACGTGTGTTTTAATTAATTCTAGGTTTCTGCCAGTGCACTTTGCCTCATATTGAAGATCCAAGCAGGCATTCATGTAATAGCGTTTGAAGTACGATGAGGGTAAAGAAAACATCTAGCAGCATACACATCGAACCCACTAATTCAATTGTGTGTAATAAGTTGATGATCAATAAATACACTGCACACACCGTTCACAGAGATTGTGGTCAGAAAAAAAAGGAAATAATTCTCAATAGAAGCCTTGGTGTCATGTTTTTTAATCAAACACTTTGTCATATCATACCACTGAGTGCTTTATGTCTATTTCACACTAATAATTAAAACCAAGTAAAATAAGAGAAGAAAAGGGCGAAAATGTATGGCAACTAAGAGAAGTCACTTTTACCAATTTACTGTGTTTCAAAATATCTTTTACGCCTCTTTTGATATCAACAATATCGAAAGATTCCCGAACATTCAAAATTAAATCAAGGCCTTCTGAATTTGCGCTAAGATCTATAAACCTCATTTGAGAACCTAAAGCAAACTATTCCGCTTAATTCAACATGAAATCAAGGTGTGTTGAAGGTGCGTCATTATTGTGTTGTTCATCGTAAAAACCCCTTCAAAGTGTTCTTTTGTTGACTCAGAGTAGGGCTACTTTGTTGACTCTCAGTTAGTTGACGTCATATCTGATACAGTACTAACGTGTGTAACGTTAGTAACGGAAGTATTGATTTTCTCTAGGTCTGAACATCTCTTGCAGTTTATGTTGACAAACCTTGAACTGACATAATATCTGTACGCGCTGTTAAGCAAATTTGCTTTATACTCAAATAGTTTAATACTTAACATGACAATACATATTTGTTTCTATGAAAGCTCTGATTGAGGCTGTTAGCTCATTCTGAATTTTTGTTTGAGATGAAAATACAGTGTCCTACAATACGAAAAGGATCGATCAGTTTGATCAAAGATTGCTGACGTAACATAGATCGATTGCAGACAAGCTCTTCAAAAGTCCGTGCACATGTAATTCCAATCAACCTCTAAGTGTAAGTGACCCTTCCCTCTCAGCTCTGTACACTACAAAAAGTGTTTCCATCAAGTGGTTACAGAATACCTAGAGGTAAAAAAACAACAAAATGTAACATGAGAATATTTTAGCGGAGCAGCGTTCAGCAGTCCAGCCAATTAGCAGAGAAAGATAATATACTTTTCAACAACCTGAGCATACAGCGTAATCCAGACAGCGACTTCGTGCATATAAGTTTGAGTGTATGCGCCTATGTATTATGGCACACACACACACACACACACACACACACACACACACACACACACACACACACACACAAACACACACACAAACACACACACACACAACGCACACGGAGAGAAATACAGAGGAAAAGAGAGACCAAGACTGACATGCTTGTCAGTCATCTCTCTCACCCATTTTCTTATTGTTTAGATACTGGGGCAACTGGTAACCACTGCCCGTAGAAGATCATCGCATCATGTATTTCTTTGGTATATTTCTCGAAAAAAAAACCCCATACATTTTTATGACAACACGTACAACACAATCATATTTTGAGAATGAACCTTTCATTTTTTGGTCACCATGGTGTGAGCAAGCCCCAAAAAGTAAACGTAAATACAGCTCTCATAATGACAGTTTACGGATGGCCTAGTGTTATAAAGATTGGTGCATAGATTAAACATCGATAGAAATAATTTAACGTACAATTTCATTGTATTCGGTTGAAAAGTGGGTGGGCTATAGGACAGGAAAATGTTCCACTGGGATAGACATCCAAGGTCAAGTAACCTCGGAATGAAGCGTTCGAGTATACCTACCTTTACATACTCGTCCTTGTCATCAGCTCCCTCTGGAGCAATACAATTCTTCTTACCTTTATTAATAGCTCCATGGTCGAGTTATAGAAGTTTCAGATGATTACGGACGTGGTCAAAACCATACGTAAAGAGGTTATCTTACATCCTTGAGGTTAGACAAAGAGTCGATTCCAAGCGACAATGTACGAGAAGATTAACCTCAGGCAGTGAAAAGGAGGACATACGCTGAGACTGGGAGTAAGTGGAGAGGCTCCTGTTTGTTGGGTTTATTGATTCTTTATGAAAACAAAATCTATGACGTCAATGCTGACAAAAATGAAAACCACTCCGCCTCGGTTAAAGACATTTGGATAGATAGTCTTCGGAGCAGGTCAGAACGACATCATCTACTCGCTTATGTTTGAGCAGTCACGTAAGCATTTCACTTAGCGTCATAAGGAGGGAGACTTTGATTTCCATGTGAGGAAGTCTATATTATCAGGTATATCTGCTTTCATTCTAGGATAATGTATCTTGGTCAGCCAAAATTGGCCCTAATAGGCAAGCTCATAATATTAATAGCGTAAATGGTGTGGATGTGAACGTACTCGTATTATTGTTCACAGTCATGTAAAACAAACAATCTGCAGGTATTTGGAGGGTGGAGTTGGTATGCCCTCTTCTTTTTCCGCTCTGTGGACTTTATCTGGATAAAATGCTGTTTCTGAAGTCCTAATGACAATCGTCGTACTTTTGTTCACTCAAATTGAAACAAAAATGTAATCTTTTAGTCTTCTCGCCCCCCCCCCCCTCGCCCAAAATAAATAAAAAAGGTTAAATTAAATACTACGGCTCCTTTGAAGATCTGGTTGGTCGCACCGTGCTGGAAACCACTGAGCACTTCTGCAACTCTTCACTCGTACCTGCTCTTCCTGGGCATTGCTTTCGCCTGCTTGATTTCGAGAAACTGAGGGCGACGCAATGGAACTTTGAAACGCTCACTCACCTCATAATGAAGAAAAATACGAAGTGTATGGTTCTCAAAACCTCTCCTTGCAGTGGAAATTGATTTATCAAAGGAATCATATCCGTTAAGAGGTGTTTTTCTTATTCTTAGTAAAGAGTTAATTTTGGTGCAAACTGCAAACTAAAAAGATTCTCGAAAAATGAGCCACGAGAAATCTGAAAGTTAAGCATAATGCAAAAAACAACAACAACGCCTTTACGCCAGTTTTCTTTTTCGGTTCCAGACAAAAATTGTGTCACATCATGGTGGAATCAGGCGTGCGTCAATTTTTAAGCATAATATTATAAAGTTATGGATATAAACTTGTTCATTTTGACTTGCTTTGATTAAATAGATGGCCATGCATCTTGAAGAAAAGTCGAGATATTTTCGATTGAAGGAAGCTGGGGTCGCCACGTGTAAGAGGTAAAATTAGCGAGAAAATGGCCTTCAAAGTTTGGTGGCTCTAAAATCTAGAGAACTCTTTGAAATTGCAAATTTGCATTTTTCTGTGCCTTTGATCAACGTTTTTAACAAAAAGTGGACATATAGGATGTGAGCAACCAAGCCCAGTCCCTTTTTTTTCAAAGGAAAAAAAAAGAGGAAAAAAGAAGAAGAAAGGCAATAAAAATTGTCCAAATGGCGGTAAAGTATCTGACTTTACAGCACCTAATTTCACCACAGTGCCACACAACTGATAATCAAGGTGCCAAGTAATGTTATTTTAAAGGGGTCAAAAGATCGCCCTGAACCTCATCATTTTACGATGGATGTGGTAATTGTGTATAGTTTAACTTCAACTTTTATGTCGTAGTGCATATCAATATTTGCGTGTGTGTGTGTATGTGTGTGTGTGTGTGTGTGTGTGTGTGTGTGTGTGTGTGTGTGTGTGTGTGTGTGTGTGTGTGTGTGTGTGTGTGTGCGTTGGTTGTGCGTATACAAGTGACCCGAATCCGGTTGGGCTCTAAGTTCATAAGGAAGTAAATGAAAATAAACTAATAATAATAATAATAATAATAATAATAATAATAATAATAATAATAATAATAATAACAAAGATAATAATGATAACAACAATAATAATGATAATAATAATAATAATAATAATAATAATAATAATAATAATAATAATAATAATAATAATAATAATAATAAAAACAGCAATAATAATAATGATGATGATGATAATAATAGTAATAATAATAATAATAATAATAATAATAATAATAATAATAATAATAATAATAATAACAACAATATTATCTTCATCATCAAAATCATAATCTTAATCACATTCATAATCATAATCATAATAATTGATTGTGTTAAATAGCGCTCCATCCCAAAGTAGTATTAGCTATGGGTCTTTTATGTCAATCTCATGATCATTGATACTTCATAAGTTGCACAAGATGAAAGATTTCACAGTAACATGAAATCAGTTCAATAATCGTATAAGTAGAACTGTCTGAAACATGCATTAGTATATTGTGCACGTAAGGACAGCAGTAAAATAAAACCTATCAGTAATTACTAACACACTACACCAAAGAATAGAACAAATATCTTGAGCAATCGCTTAAATATGTCAGGTTTTGTTATTTCTCTGAGGTCCTGAGGCAAGGAGTTCCTGAATTTGTCTTCACATTTATGGTACATCTACAGTTGTCAAGTTTCTGTTTTTGTCCCCCCCCCTCCCTCTCTCTCTCTCTCTCTCTCTCTCTCTCTCTCTCTCTCTCTCTCTCTCTCTCTCTCTCTCTCTCTCTCTCTCTCAGTTTTGAGGACAAGTTTGCCGTTGCATAATCTTTACACCTCATGAGACCGCGCTGTAATTCGAGCAAAATTACATTAGAACAACAGTTATCAGTTTCAATTCAATTCATCTACTTGTCCGGTTCATTAACCTGTGTGTGTGTGTGTGTGTGTGTGTGTGTGTGTGTGTGTGTGTGTGTGTGTGTGTGTGTGTGTGTGTGTGTGTGTGTGTGTGTGTGTGGAAAAATAAGTAGAC